TGCGCGGCGGTACCCTAGGGACTTTGAGAGACTGGGTCCGCGACCCATTGAACTCGCGGAGCGAAAATAGCTGCAGCAGCGCGATTGCTTTGCAAGTCCGTTTGCTGCGCTCCACATACTGCTACTGCTACTGCTACTGCTACTGCTACTGCTACTGCTACTACTACTACTACTACTACTACTACTGCTACTACCACTATATATAGACTATACCACTACTACAGCAGAGGAACCACTGTGCCCCCGGACTTCAGAGCTGTGCTCACCGCCACTTGCGCAGCTCCCCAAGATCTGTTGCGCTCACGGCCAACAAAACACACAGGGACATTGTGTTTGCTGAAGGAGCTTGATTCGGAACAATATTGGTAAGGCTCCGTTCGAGCCCCTGCTGCACTGAGAAGGACGCCAACGCTCCCTGCAGGGACCCCAGAGAAGATCTTGAAAGGTTCATCCATCTCCACTTCTTTGCGGCCACACAGCACCAAAAAACCGCTCAGGACCTTTATCGTTGTTGGTGGCTGCTCGATCGGCTTCGGCATGACTGGCGGTGTCTGGCTGGCAGCCGAAAACCAAGGTTTCTGCCTGCCAGCCGAAAGCCCAGCGCACCGTTCACAAGCAGTTGCCCATGTCGTCTGCACGGAGCGCGAACTCTGTCACTATTAACTTTTTAGGGGTTTAAGGTTTTAGGGTTTAGGTTTTAGCCTTAGCCTTAGCCTTAGCTAAAACTTTTAGCTTCTGAATAAGGCCCAAAGGCTGATGGACCTAATCACTTTCGTGAGGTAGAGGGTCTAAGGATTAAGGATGGTTTCGGAGGGGGTGTAAAGTACTTAGTTTGTAGTAACTGTGGCTGATAGCTCGAACCTGGCCGCCGGAAGCTAGTTGCATGCAACTCAGAAGAGCATTCTGGCTGACAGCCGAAACGAACGCCAACAACAACAGCAACAACAACAACTACAGCAAAAGATTACATGACATGACATGACATGACATGACATAACGTCATGAGTCATAAGTAAACAGTAGCACCAGCCACAGCAACAGCAGCAGCAGTGGCAGCAACAGCAACAACGACAACAACACAAAACAAGTTTTCCGAATATTGGTGTGCAGCAATCTGTAGGCTAGCCTAAGGCCCTAAGGTGTGTCTAAGATATGGTGGGCTTCAACTAAGCAGACCTTCAATTCAGGGGAATGCAAACCCTGAAGCCCTGCCCTAAATTGTAAGCTTCTTGTACACGCCCTTTAGTACCCTATGTGCTGCTATGTGGTTGAATCCTCAACTATCCATGGCTCAGCTGCTTACCGTCGCGGCCCAGCTTGAAGTTTGGAGGCCAATGTGCGGGGCTCCAGGCCTGGTTGGCTCAGGGCTTGGGGTGTGTACGAGTTGCCCAGCGCGCAGGGCACTTAGGGGCTGGAGTTTGGCAGTTTAAAACCCACTTCATGGAGTAAAGGCCTTACCGGCCTTACCAAAATATCCCAAGCTTTGCGGCTTTGCAGTGGCTGTGATTGTTTCAGCGGTCTCAGCGGTCTCGGCAATGCGATACGCAACTCAACCCAGTCGCCCAACGAATGTCAAACACAGGCATTGGGGCATGGACTCTATGACGAGAGACGAGACTATGGCTGTGACTCATGAGACTATGAGACTGTGACTCTATGTCTATGAGTCTATGCCTATGTCTATGTCACGGCCGAATCCAAGAGCTTAAAACGGGGCCATTCTGGAAGCAGGCGTCTATGTCTATGTCTATGACTCATAGACTACAGACTTATTTTGGTATGATATGAACATAACATAATTTAACATAGTGAACATTGTAACATAGTTATTAATTCTTAATATGACTTATATTACTGCATGACATATATGACTAAGACTCTGACTATATTTATATGCCTAAGCCTATACTATAGACTATAGACTATAGACTATATTTATATGACTATGTGACTATTGTATGAATCATATGACTCATATGACTATATGACTCTAACTCTGAAACTCTGACTATGACTCCTGACTATGATTCGACTAAGCTATACATGACTCTATGTCTATCACTCTATGACTCTATGACTATGACTCTGACTATGAGACTATGCTGACTCTATGCCAATGTCTATGTCCATGTCTATGTCTATGTCACCTATGTCTATGTGTCTACGTCTATGTCTTAGATGTCTATGTCAATGTCAATGTCTAGTTAATTACGTAATGTATGTAAGTATGTATTATTGCTGTATGATTCTGTATGATTCTATGATGGTTCATGGTTCATGACTGATTAGTTACCACACTTTGGAAGCGCTTCTGCAATACTGTAAAGTTAAAGCTGTGGTCAGTTGGGCGGCTTTCGCGAAGTTGCGAGCCCCAAGGTCCCCAACCATGTTGTGAAACAAAGCCAGGCATGCTGCACTGACCGTGAGAAGGACAGCTCCGCTGCTGTCACTGGCCTGCGGGCTCCGGGAAGGAGCTTTTGTGCTTTCTCTGTACAGCCCCTTCCCTGGACTTGGGCAGCTCTAAACCATCCTCAAACCACTGGAGAATTTGACCACGCGAAGGACAGCGGCAAGCAAGACGCATCAGCTGGCAGCCATGCATACCGCAATACACTGAGAAGGCCTCCTGCGGTGTGTTTTGCTTTATTGTTGAAATTCGACCGATGTACTGATTTGGCTCGCGGTCTGTGCGGAACACCCTGCCAGTTACGGGGTCGATGCGGACTTTGCTAGGAAGCTGCTCTGGCCGCCCGTGGCTGCCAGCCGAATTGCTTGTCGATGGCCGTGACGAGGGCATGATTGATGGTTGTGTCGGCGACGTGATTAGTTCCTCTCTTTCTGCCTGTCTCATGTCATCGAGCTCATCGTCTGGGAACCCCAACCGCACGATTTCTTCTTCCAAGGCTAGAAAAGGATCTCCTGCAACGGGGTCAGCTTCTGCTGCAAGCTCGTCATCCCACATGTGCAACTCCTCCTCGCGTTCAACCTCCTCGTCTCTCAGTGGTTCTGGCTGACAGCCGGAAGGCCGAGCGGCTGCCTTTCTGCTTGGTTGCTTCGACCGCATCCTCATGCGCTTCTTCAACAATGAGTCATCATCCAACCGCTGCACTGCTGCTGAGATGTCAGAAGCCTGTTTGTCCTTTCTCCTTTTGCTGACAGCAGCAGCCTCCATGTCAGCCATATCTTCCACGACCTGAACCCTCATGGATGTCAAACTTGTGTGCTTGCAGCGCAAGCACTGGAATTGCAAGGATTCTTTTGGCATTGGCGCCCCAGACAGCAGCGGCTGCGTAGGCAGCATCGTCAAGCAAAGTTCCATCACCTCTGTCGCTCCACGCAGATTGTCAATCTGCGGCTCAAACTGTAGCACAACACCTTCAGCTGGCACTGGTGCTGCGGACGGTGTCGCCAAGCAGTAAACTTGTGCATCATGCAGCGGAGACAGCTGCAGCAAGGTCAATCCCTTGGGTCGATCAGCGCTGCTGCCAGACGACGCTTCTATATGGATGTGCAATGCCGGCAATGCAGGCCACATGTCTCCAAGATTTGGAGGCTTTGCCTTGCAGAAGGCAGCAAACCTGTTCAACTTCACACGCACATGCTCGAGCACACTGGACTGCCAGTCTTGCAAAGTCCGAACACACTTTGTGGTACGACACAAAGGGCCGCAATCCGAAACTGTGGCTGTCATTGGCTTGCACTCCGTCTCGCCCACTCGCCGCACCCAGCTCTCTGCCAGTGGACGAACCTCATCAACCATAGATTCCAAGCAGTCTGCACGCAATGGGTAGAAATCATCTCCGCAATGCGGCCATACCGATACGGTTGCTGGAGCAGCAGGTGCGGTAACAGGGACTGCCGGCTGGGGAGAGGCAGGCGGTCTTGGAGCACGCGCGACTTCCGCCGCCAGGAGTGCCTTGGCTTCGTCGCTCTCCTGCCGCCATTGTTGAGCGACCTGCTTCATGGTTTTGCCCGCTTGCATGTGCTTTCGCATATAATGTCGCCAAACATGGTTCTTGTCAGGATTCTGGCTGACAGCCGATGTTTGCAGAGGGCTCTGGCTGACAGCCGAACCTGGCGCCAAAACGCGCGAAGTGCCTTGGCTGACAGCCGAACCTGGTGCCGAACCGTGCGCAAGCAGCATGGCTGCTTTCTGCCTGCTCTGGCAATCCAAAATGGATTTGCTCTCGGCTAGAACATGTTGGGCAGCCAACGTTGGCAGTTTCGGACTCTGACCATGGTCCGTCATTCGACGAACATGTGACGCGGCAAAGCTTTTCTCTGATACCACGTTAGTCACTGGCGCAAGGTCCAACAGCTGCCGAATTCGTTGAAGGTTGGCAGGGTCCAGGACATCTGTCTCCGTCTGCAAATCTCCCTTGAGGAACTGCAGGAAGGGATCTCGGTGAGAACAAAGCCTCAACCTGAGAAAAATGTGTGTGGAATACTACTAAGAATAAGAATCAATGGATAAGGATCATAAGACTAACTACTTTGATTCACTAACGAACTTAACTAACTGAGGAAGCTTATGAAACTTATGAATCTTATGAATTCTCACTTAATTATGAAATTATGAATTATGAAATATGAAATTATGAATTACGAGCTTCTGATGATTCATTATTATGATTCAAAATTCAAATTATGAAATTATGAATTATGAAAATTTATGACTCTTATGACTTATGACTTATGACTATGATTCTTATGATAATGACTCGACTCTATAGTCTATAGTCTATAATGTCTATAATGACAATGATATGAAAATACTACTAACATGTAGACTTGTAGCTACTAGTCAAACCGTGAGCGTAACTCAACTGACGTGTGACTTAACTTAACCAAACTAAAACGACTAAACCCTATTAGCCTAAAGCCCAAAGCTCGAAACCCCTAAACTCTAGTAGTCTAAAAGTCTAAAAGTGTAAGACATCTAAGAGTCTAAACCTAAACAGCCTAAACAGCCTAAACTCTAGACTCTAGACTCTCTAAACTGTACTTGCTGAACTACTACGACTTAGCTACGACTGCGGCTCGACGAGGACTACCGCCTACGACTGCGAATTATACGACTTTAACAACTTGGACTACACACTACTGCTAGCTAACAGCTCCTGCTGTGCTATAGACGACTCGACTACGACGATTAGGAACACAACTGTCTGTTGCGCGAAATAAGTGCTTCAAGAAACAGTTCTGTGGCCAGCATCTCTTGAGTCTCACGAGAAACGCCATCCTCCAACATCAGGGCTGCTTTGAACGGCCAAACACTGAAGGGCAGCACCAGCCTGCCATACAGCTGTCCAACTTCCAACCAAGTTGGAGTGGCTGCGCATGTGTAACTGTGGCAATCCCAAGCAGCATCAGGCTCACGCAAGGCTTGCCAGTGACAGGCATCTTCAGACGATAGCGCATTCAGCAAAACCTTGACCGTGCTGACGGCAGGCGACTGGGAAGGCTGGGACAGGACCAACACAGTGGACGTCCGGCGCAAATCCGGACATGAAGTTGCATCAGCGGCGGTGAAGAAGGACCCCATGATTTTCAAAGCAGGCTGTAGAGACAACAACGTTGCTGTCAGTTTTTCCTTCATGCCTTTGCACGTTGCGAACTTCGTAAATTTCCGCACCCTCGCGAATTCTTCTTTTCTGAATGCCTCGCTGTCTTGCTCCGGTGCAGCGATCCTCTCCAGTTCCGACTCAATGAGAGACATTGCCGTCACAGCCGTCTCGGTCACAGCTTCAGTCTGAACCTGCGTCACCTCCAATGCCTCAAGAACGGGCTTCACAATATGGGAAAGGAGGCCGTGCACCAGCATGAAAGGTGCAAACCACATCAAAGGAGGAACCACCTTGGTCCACTTGTTCCAAACTGGAACCATTGGTGGAGAGTCCAAGAAAAGCGTGCACAGATCTTTGAAAACCTCATCGACCACGTCGCTGCGGGAGTCATGACATCCGTAAGGGCAGTAGTGGATCACGCGGGTGTGGTCGTTCAGCGGCCCGCAAAGATTCTTCCGCAGCCTCCTCCATGCTTGTGCTTTTGGAGTGGTCAAACGGGTGTCTGTGCTGTGACCAGCTTGCACCAAGGGCCATGCCAAATTCCACACTGCATTGGCATGGCTGACAGCCGAACTAGTCGGGGCATCATATGTAATGTCGAGATTATCACGAAGATAGTGCTCCAACCTGGCACGCAGTGATTTTTGAAATTTTGCTCTGCGCAGAAGCAAGGACCCACAGTAGAGCGATGACATGACGCCGGACAAAGCGATGGCGGACGTCATTGCTATGCAAAGTTGGTGCATGCGACACGGGCAGCTGAAACATGCAAACTTCGTTGCGAGGCACTTCGTCAACTTCAGGCAGCTCCCAAAACTGTCTGTGTTCAGGAAGAAGGTCGTTCTATCAGCAAGGGTGTTCAACTGTTCCAAGCTGACAGGTAGCCGCTCCATCAAACCACCGAGGATGTCGTCTGTGGTCGTTCCAGGCAGCACGACGGTAGGAAGCACGACGCTGAAGCTTTGCACTTGCTGTCCCCAGGCTGACAGCCGATGCAGCTTCACATGTATGACCATCACCTGCGCACTTTGGCCAGTGGTCTCCATAGTGACAGGCTCCTGTGTCTCATCGAGCGCAATTTCGATCCACTGTTCTGCCACACGCGGCAGCATGTTCAGCTGCTGCGTTTGCACGCGCATGAACACTTCAGACATAGCTTGTCGCACCCGTGCTACATGAGTCGTGCTGGCATCGTGTTGCCGGGCGCATTCACGGATTGACGACGCAGACGGAGCTGCGCGCTTCTGGCTGGCAGCCGAAGGCTTGGTTTTCTTTCTAAGTCTTCTTGCCATATTCTTTGCGACCCTTTTCCGAGGATCTGGTTTGGAGCCCCAACAAACCCGCAACAAAGCTGTTGGCAACCACTTTTTGTAACTCCCACGGCCTGCCTTCTTCGGTCTCTTCTTTTCTTCTAAGTTGATCACATCTTCATGTGTTTTCGCATAACGATCATTGTACCGGTGAATCAGGGCCATCACCCTGCAAGTCACTTGGTGCCTGTGCTCGCTTGCTTTCTTGAGAGCTCGTGCTGCTCGGGCAAACTTCGTCGACTGATACCCTCTGTACGCAGGCATGTCTGTGCACTTGCGGACCTTCTGCACAACCACATCGAGGGCAGACAGGTGTTCATCGTCAACATTCATGAGCTGGCTGACAGCCGGAAGCAGCAAGTCACGGCATACTCAGAGCCAGCTGTCAGATTTCGAGCCAAAGTCACAAAGTCAGCACTCAGGACGGTCGCTTGTGACACATGTCATGCCTGTCCTGCCCCCCTCCCTTATCTCCCATGCTCAGCCGCTGCACTAGCATTAACAACTAACCTGTGATTCCACAGCAACTTGAATAATTTAGTAAAGTAGTTAACTAATTAAATTAACTTTAGTAATTACAATTTATAACTTATAACTTATAACTATAATATACTTTAATTAATTAATTAATTAATTAAAAACAATTAATGAATTAATTAATTAATTTAATATTTAATATTAAATTAAGTCTATTTAACTAATTAACTTAATATTTAATTACTTAATTTAGGTAATTTAAAATAATTAATGAATTGAATTAAAATTAACTATGATATTAACAATATTATTAATCTATTTTTCATTAACTTCTTAACTATTAACTTAATTTAACTATATAATTATATAGTTATATAATTATATAATTATATCATATCAAATTATATTATATCATATCTTTTGTCTGATCTATTAGTGAATTACAGGTTTTCTAATATCTAAATAGAATGAATGCGCAATTGTGCTGCTTCCAGAATGGCCCCGTTTTAAGCTCTTGGATTCGCCCAAGCTAAACCCGAAACCTCAAACCCAAACATTCAAACTTGAGGTGCTTGCGCCTATTATTATCACCATTTTGAATTGTCTATGACAATTACATTGTGCGGGGAATTTACCACAATTATTTTGTGAAACAATTTTGGTAATCTTGGCAATCTTACTCATCTTGGTCATCTTGCCCCACTTGCTCGCCGACTAGTTTACCTTTTAGACCAAGATTGCAAGGGGGGAGCAAATTGCCAGCAATCTTGCAATCTTGGTCTGGAGGGAAAACTAGTCGGCGAGGGGCCAGTGGGGCAAGGTTGCTTGGAAATCTTGTTCAAACAATTGTTCTAAATTCCCGGCACACTGTACTATCATTATTATGGCCACCCGAGAAGCACGATTGGCCGTGCAGGCGTCCAGGCACAGCCGGACGTCATCGGTTCCACCCCCAACATGCGAGATGTCTTGCGAGGTGCTCTGGGGCACCCTGCATCAGCTCCAATGATTCATACTCATCGCCATCATCAGTCATGCGATCCATGGCGAATGTGCTCAGGATTTGCTGAATGCTTCACGTAGTCTAGATCTCGAAAATCAACACGGATCGCCCATTCAGTAGGGCATCCTCAAGTCCTTTGCAGGAGTCAGCAGAAGAAGCCGAGGCAGGCAACCAAGAAGAGAGTGTGCCTCCGCGTGGTCGTTGTCGTCGTCGTCGTCATTGTCGTCGTCGTCCTAAACGAGCATCCATGCCAGAACAATGATACCTCCATGGTACCAGAGCATCATACATTCCAGAACTAAGAGAACGTCCGTCCATTACCAGAGCGTCTTCATCAGAGCATCCATGCCAGAACCTTGATAACGTCCATGGCACCAGCATCCACCCCTCAGGGCATCCATGTAAGCTTACTGGCAGAATACTATTCCTCGCAGTAGTAGCGCTAGCAGTACTATTTTTTGCTAGATTGCCACGTGCATATTTCTGTCCTGCATTGTACCAATAGGTATAATGCTTAATGCGATACCATATCAGACTACATACTCTGCTACTCAAAGCCGGATAGCAAGCTCAGAGGACCACGGAACAAAGACCACGGGACCAGAGGACCGCGGGACCAGAGCACGGGACTACGGGACCAGAGGATCAAGGGACCAGAGGACACCAGAGAACCACAGTACAGCAGCATTTGGAATAGAAATGTTGTTCTGGCTACATTTTTTGATGCTTATCAAATCGTATTCTGATGCATATCAATTCTTCTGATGCTTATCAACTTTTTTGCTGATGCCTATGCCCTGACTGTGGGAGGGTATGCGTTCCGTCCCTGTTGTGAGGGCCCAGTCTTTGCCAATACAACCTTCAGCCACAGGAGAGTGCAGCCTCTTTTCTAAGGCTTAGGAATACAAATTCAATGAAGCGCGTCCAGAATTTAGAATTTGTTGTGACATGGATTGGAAACGCTCACTGCAAGTACCTGCAATGCTTGTGACACAGTATGCCTGCTATCGCTGTGCAATGATGAATTGGGGAAACGGCGTGATTGCAGCAGAAGCACGTGGCATTGGTAGAGCATCCACAGTTTTATGATAAGACTGAATGACCAGTGACCATTGTGTCGCGCGCGTGCGCATGTAAAAGTAAACTTCGGCCGGGGTCAAGACTCCACATGTCAATGGCACTGGTGTAAGGCACTCCAAGCAGGACCTGCGAAACCCGTGTCGCTTGGTTGATCAGTGGGTGTGCTCTACACAAGAAGTACAAGTCTTGCGCGAGACGACACCTCGGGTGATCGGTAGAAGCGAGACTGGATGTACGGGTAGACCTTAGGTGTAGTCCTAGTCACATCTGGCTACTTGCCACTGCATCTGTGCTTGAGCTGGGCGTCACGCCGTATGGCTTTCAAAGCAAGCCGATCCAAAGTCGATGAGTTTGATGCGCGTGTGATGAATGTTGCCTGTTCCAGCGCTCTTCGAGTACTTCTGCTAGCACCAGATACAAGCAAGCTCGTTTGTCGTGGTTCTCCAGTAAGATGCCAGCTGAGAAGGACATTCTCAGGCTTCAGGTCACAGTGGATGACGGAGGCCTACGGAGAGTCTAAGGCCCCCCCAAACCAACACAAAACATCGCAAAGCCAGAAAGACCCTCTCTCTCGGAGAGGCTCCGAGCCCCGGAGCCTCGCGCAGGCAGCGCAACGCCTCTCAGCAAGACTCGGTAGCAGCGCGCGAGACTGTGTCAGCACTTCGGCGGAGCGCAGGCCGCCTTGAGAAGCTGATCTGTGAGCACACGGATCAAGGCCATGGACCTTGCCACAGGAGGCAGTCCATTAACGAGAAAGTCAAAAGCAAAGTCTGTTTAGGGCACTCCTGAAACTAAGAGCCGCACACACCACGGAATGAATTCTGCTTCAGAACCTCGTAGAGGTTCACACCTGAAGTTATGACTCGAGGTGTTTCGACAGAGGCGGTGGATTGCTTTCGTTCTGAGGCTCTTGCTGAGTAATTCGAATGCAATGCACAGATGCTTTCTGTATACGAAGAAATCCAGCATCCTGACGATCCTGAAGAGAGACTTGCCAGCTGTCCAGCTGCAAATCGAGATGAGAGCGAAGGAGGGCTACCCTCAAAGGGAGCAAGGAAGAACTTCTATCTCAGCACCCCGCCGCTTGTCGTCATCAGGGTCAAACTCCTGTAAAAAAACACAGCTTGCTAGTTGACATTGTGTGGCTACGTCGAGATCTGCTGCTCATGGGCTTGAGAAGTCCTGATTCAGCATTTGCAGAATGCGCACCTCCACCAGCGCCTGGAGGGAACAGCATGATGCCGCAACAATTCACAGCAGCCTCTTCACAGCACAAGACTCTAGTGGATGCACGTTAACATAAACGAGTCGAATGGTCCTCTGGAAAGCGGGCGTGAAACTCAGATCCGACTACTCAATGCATGACGACGGCCTGATGGAAGTAGGCAGGTTTGTTCTTGATGATCTTTAAAGCCTTGGTCCGCAACACTCATCTCCAACAAAAGCCACGCGACCTCACCAAGACAGACACATTGCTGAGGAAGGGTCCACGTGACTGTTGGAAGTCGAGTGGTGGATTTTCAAGACCTTCAAGGCACATTCAACACACACTCTTGGGCTGTGTTTTCGCAGTGGCGAGTTACCTCTCGGAAAAATGCAATGCGTCGGTTCTGCTCCTTGTGGGGCTCGGTGACTCGGTGCTTGCAACAGCTTCAAGAATCGGGATGCTGTGTTCTGAAACAAAAGGCACAGCACGCAACACAGACTAAGGTAAACTCATACTCATCCTACGCTATGCATAACATGATCTCTTCCCCCTCTTTCCAAGTGCGACCTTCGGAAGGCGCTATTTGAGGGATCAAGCCGAATAAGTCCGGGCCTGGCCAAAGGTGCCATGCCCCAGCCGCTCAAGGATTTCGTAGGCATGGCCGTCCGGGTTCAGGATCTTATCGCCGACCTCAAGCTAGCAGCTAGCCATGCAAGACTCCACCCAAGGAGGCTATTGAGATTGATCAGCTACTAGTACTGCATTCAGGTGGCTCGGCAAATGTAGTCGTGCTCGGCATTGTCATAGTTTCCATTGTACACACCTCGCCCGCGAGGCCAGAAGCCAGAAGCTCCAGTAGAGGTGGCATCCATGCAGCGAACCCCTGCCTTTGGACAGCTTCGTGAGAACGCGTCGAGGGGCCGTGGTGTCGCTGTACACAAAGTCATTGCAGCACTGCTGGTAGGTGGTCTGGCCCAGGCATACATGACTAAGATCTTCAAGCCAACAAACGTGGCCGGTAGTCTAAGACGCCGGTGCCGCGATCAGCTCCACCGTCAGACATTTTAGCAGGCCGCCGTGGAGAGGCTCCTGGACTGGCCACAGCTGTCCCAAGGCAACAAGCAGAGAACCACTGCTTCACAGGGGCCTCACGTCGCTCCCGAGCGAAACTCTGGGGAGGTCGAAAATTCTTTGGCGTTTCGAAGAGAAGGGCCATGCCTGCAAGCGCCACTCTCGAGTCCCATCGCATTAAAGACGGGAACTGCCCACAGAACTCCCTCGCAACGGATGCTGACTGTTTAGACTCTGGTGCAGTGGCAAAGTGGCCCGAAGAAGCTGCTCCAAGTCTAAGCACTCTCGTACATGAAGTCTGACAATTACACTTCGACCGGGCTGTCCATCCTTCAAGACACCATCAACAGCTCAGCCCAATGTGCCTGTGTGCGCAGTTGGCACATGGCACAGGCCTGACGACTACACAGACTGCACAAGAAAGTATATGGTGTTGCGGCGTGATCTTTCCGGTTGCGACACGTGTGCACGGCAAAATAGCATTTCCTGGGTCGTCTAGATTCAGAAATATATCGAGCTGACATGTGTCCTCTGTGAGCGGCCTTTGTTGTCATTCGTTCACGCTCATGTTGCCCTAAGCACTTCATTCCCCCTCCCCCTCTTCGTCGCAAGGTGTCTCTCGCCAACACTCGACAGTTGTAGCTCCAGGCAAGCTTAACGACTTTTGTTAGCTCAACGCTTCCAGTAAAGTCTGCGCCATCAAGACGACCAGATGCTGCTGCACTGCTATCGGGGCATCCAACCTCATTACAGACCGTTGGTCAAGTCGCACGAACGAAGCCATAATCCTAGTCTGCCCATCGCACTTCGCCGAACGAGCCTCTTTACTCTGCGCACCACGGTGTCATCCGCTGTGGACGCTCGCCTATGAGTATGCCTATGCTGTGCTTGTTGCGGGTGAGTGTTTGAATCTCCGTGCCCCGAGGGATGCCTCTCAGTGTCTCCGCATGTAGCTTGAACTGCTGCAGCGCATGTCATTGTACGTTGCTGAGCATGGCAGCCATGTGAGACCCCATGCCGACTATCTTCTCATGTCTACTTCAACAGAGCTCAAGCCGTTTGAGGAGCGTGATGCAACCAACAAAGAGTTGTACCTCCCCGAATGCTGCTGGAGGAACGGCAACGCACTGCACACTCAGGCCGGTTCCTGCTGAAATCGATAAAGACTGTCAACGTATAGAGCCAAACATTGGAGACACCCATGCACGTGGCCCAGCCAGACTTTGGCAGGCTCTGTTAACTTGAGATCACTACCTAAGTAAGTCGCAACAGATCTGGCACATGGCAGACCCAGATCTTTTGTCCACACGGCGCGACAAGACGGAAGCTCAAGCCTCGGAAATGCCAGGGTTGCTGATGGTCACACGTCGGAGGGATGCTGCGGGGAGGAGGCCTGGGCCTTGACTCACAACTCACGGATGAACAATAGGATACAGAAAATCCGGCCCTGGTCGCACGCCAGCTGACCTCAAAGAAGAGCAGCTTCCGTGCCAGCAAGGAGAGGCCGCCGCAATCGGAGCTGGGCATACCTCGGCGTCTGAGATGATCCCAAGGGTAGGATTCCGAGCTGGTCTCTAGTGACACCAGTGGGACCAAGCTACGTTCCACGGGAGCGGATGGCCACAGTCGCAACGGACAGGGCTGCAACCGCGCAGCAAAGCGAAGTCACCACAAACGTGACCTCAGGGACTCAAAGGTGTTCGGCGCAGTCAACAGACATGACGTGAAGCAGATTACCGGGACTGTGGCAGACCGCAAGAATCCGCAAGACACAGATTCAAGCACAACGACGATGTGAAGTGCAGAGAGCAAACATACTTCTTTGGAAGAGGCACGCCGAAGCAGCTGCCGCCAAGGCAGATCGACTCACCTGTCGAATCAAAGCTGCAAGACACGAAAAAGAAGAGGTGCAACTGTCCATCATGCAGGCTCTCCGGCCCCACGCCTTGGCGCCGGGCTTCTGCATCGTAGAGCACGCCAGCAAGAAGATCACTCAACAGCAAGGAGCCCACAGATGCTGCAGTGAAAGAGTAGCTGTATTTCACCGGCATCTCCTGACATGTCTTGCGTCTCAATTTCATGTCAGGTTATATCTTCTGGAGTGCTGCAAGGGACCTGGGTCCACAGGCATATGTCCAGTACCTAGTGCGTGCTCTTTGGAGCTGTGTTCTCATGTCAATCTGCAGGTCCTCTGGACCGAAGATCTCCTCTGTCACCACCTCGGGCACTACAGTCCAGCTCACAAACTTTTGGCACAGCCTTGACTTCGATGTGTGACCGGCTGAAAGGCGGCTGCTCCATGTAAACGTCTTCAAGGCCTCCTAACCGTCCCAACCATCTTAACACACAGAAACCAGCTTGACACGCAGGCGAAGCCCAGTCGTGGTTTCATGGTTCCCCCTGAACACCGACGTGCAGAGTCCGCAGCGAAAAAACTGCACCATTGCTACCCGCGCATCGCATGAGAAACATCCTGAGAGAACCACTTATACATACACACACACACACACGCACGCACATTTATGCGATATGCAGAGCGTCTTCTGTTGACATAATCTCACTCCCAAGGCGCCGCTTGCAGCGCAAAGGTGCCGCCGAGAGCAAAGCCTACGGCCCCAGCGCTGAAACCCAGCAAATCCTGAAGTCATGCAGCTCGAGCTTTGCACAGGCATGCTTCGGATGAAGTCCTCACCCATCTCCAGAACCGCCAGGCCCAGCGACATGAGGGCGGAAGAGCCGACGAGGAACCAAGGTCGGTTCAAGGTCCCTTTCCTGAGCTCAGCCGGAATGCTACTAAAACGACTCACATTCGAAGGACATCGTCACAACACAGACTTAAGAGCAAGGGGTAAGGGCCGGGTTTTACCAAGGGTGCAAGTGCGTCTCACAGCCAAGGCTCAAGGACTCGGAGCCGAACCCTATGAAGATGCGCCCGAAGGTGTTGAAAATCGAGAAAATCCTGACTGGTTCGGAACAGCGAGGCTGAAGAATCTAGCTTCCATGCGGCACGCTGGCATGAAGGCTGAGACTCCACGAACTATGAGCTCACTTAGGCAGGTCCATCACTTCTATATTTCGCCTGAGGCTCGACACATAAATGCCGCTGGAGGCTGCGGGGTTGCCAGAAACAGATTTAACGATCCTCAGCATTTCATACCCAGAAAACGAGGGAGTCTGATGCACAACGCTTGACCCAATTTTCTGCCCAGAGTCTGACCAAAGTTGTTGGAAAACATGATGCCCGAACCCTGGAGCGAGACGAAAGTGAAGTACCTGAATCAGAAAAAGCTGCGTGACTTCTATTATTCTGGTTCGCCAGCACCCGATCATAGATATAAAGACCGAAGCAGGCATACCGTACCTTGCCCTACTGAAAGATGGCACTCGAAGTATGTTGTGACAAGGTTTTCGGGCAGTTGCGATTCGTGACTCCATCACTGACCTGGAGCTCAGTGTGCTGACACGACCCGTGTCTGCCATGTGAGACAGCGAGAGAGACTCAGAGTGGAAGGCTAGTCATTCCGGTGGACGAAACACCGATCCCAGCTTCTCGTGGCTTTGAACTTCTGTCGGCCCTGTGCAGATCTTGAAGCTCGAAACGAAAAGCTCAGAGGGGTCGAAGTCAGGGCCCTAAATCCGGGAGGGGCCGCCGAAAACAAGCTGCCTTGCACTAAAACAATCCCCTGAAGGAACATACCAACTGTAATCAGTTCAGCAACAGGAGGTAGAAGTCCACGGAGTGGAGCATCTCGCATGCGGACACATTTGGTCGTTCGATATTTGTCCTCGGCAGTGGCCAGCACCGGCTGGCTGCAGAAGGTTTATAATTTATGACTACTGTTGATGATATAAATCCTGCATTACCTTAAGGATCCGAAACTTTGGGAATTGTGTTATATTCCTTGTTATGGGTAATGCAGGACTTATATCATCAACCGTATTATAGTAGTTTACAGTACCACGACCACAACCACAACCCAAACCCCAACCCTAACCCCAACCCACACACTTGGACACTCCAAGAAAGGAGTAGCTAGAGTCAGCTAGAGTTTGTCACATGTTTGGGGTTCTTGGCTTGGCCGCTCGCCATACGGTGCAGGTACGTTTTCACGGGCTTGTCCGGGGGTGGGCTTCGTTGACCACCGCCCCCCGGCATTTTCGGGTTTCCCCTGCGAATGGAAAAAAAAACTCTTGGTAAACAGGGCTTCACACTTGAGACACCGCCGCCACCACCACCACCACCAGCCGCAGCAGCAGCACCAGCACCACCAGTACACCACCACCACCAGCACCACCACCAACTCAGCAGCAGCAGCAGCAGCAGCAGTACACCAAGCTGTGCAAATGGCACCACGGAGAGTGCGACATTCGCTTTTGTCGCAGGTGCTTGTTGTTTTTTCTTCGGGACAGAGATTCGACACGCCGCGCTCGTTCGCACTTGCTACATTGCTGCACTCTGCTGCCGTCACAACTGGGGTAGTCAAGCATTTGCGTTTGCTTAACTGGGCAGCCTGGCATAGCCTCACCGTCAACCGCATCCCATTTTACATGTCACCTCGGGCGGGACTGGCTCTTCTCCGGCTGCCTTGTTGAGCAAGGCAGCGGTTCTGGCATCGCTGGGCACCTTCCGTTGCGGCCTGGTTGCTGATTGCATCTCCGCCCACTATGTGATCTTTTGAATCTGGGCAGTGGTTGAACTATCTGGCATGCTGCTGTATATCTCTTGAGGATTCTCATTTCTTTGAATCTTTCCGCGTAGCTGCTGTGGGCAAAGCTTGGGCTGGCTGGACATGAGGACCTAATTCAAACAGTCGAGGACGGGTGACAACACTCGGGCTCTAGACAGGATACAGGAGTCCCCCGAAGGCGCCGGCACTCGTTCTCCGGCTGGGCGGCACAGCATTGCCAGTGGACTCAGCATCGCGGCCGCGGCAAGCAAGAAGGAAGAGGCCACACGGCAGCAGGGCAACAACCTCAGAAGAGGCCAGAGAGCACAGCGGCACCAGGCAGAAGTCTGTGCGCTGAACAGAGGAGACCTGCATGACTGAGTCCTTAACCAAAGCCACCGGCAGCGTATGCGCTTTGTTATACGCAACCACTGCACAAAGGGCAGTGTACGCCAGCAGCGCCACTGTCAAACAAGAGAACTTCTTGGACACGGTGTTGGCATCTTCCTGGTGCATCATGGTGCATCCGGTGTGCTTTCCTCCCCCAGGGAGCCTTTGCCTGCACCCACATACTTTACTGCAAATCAGACAGTTGATGAGAGGTCCTTGGCGAGGCTGTTGGTGAAGGCAATGGCAGGTGCGCTGCAGACCCCCACGCCCAAGGCCAAGAAAGCCATGCAGAGGGGAAACGCTTCAAGGTCTTCGTCCGAGGAGATACTGTAGAAGACCTGTGACGCTGACTAGCGCGAATCATCACTTACAACAGGGCTCAAGCGATTCACTTCACGCACAAAGGCCATGATGCGAAAAAGTACAACGGGATCTGACATTGACTGCTTTCAAACCAGTACCCCGGTCTTCAGTGCCAGCCGCGCGTCTGTGCCGACAACGGCTGCAGTCAGTCCTCCAATGACAACGTCCAGGCATCCACGATCATCCACGCATGGCAGGGAAATCTGGCATCACTCATGCGCTCCTTCCATCGCCTTCATCAGGCCCACCGCGCTGCCTGCGAGCCAGCGCCACAAGACGAGCTACTGCCTTTGCCTTACTGAGCTCTGATGAGCTCTGCCTTTGTGTTCCGGGAAATTCTTGACGCTGGTCGAGATTCCCGCATTGTCGCAGTATCCCATGCTGTGGCCGAAAAGGCCGAAGAGGATGATCCTCGGGCTGTGAAAGACACAGAAGAGCACAAAGGCGGCACTGCCGCGCAGCCTGCTTGTGACTTCTGCAACCTGGCAACATGCAAGGAAATGGCACACTTCCACTGCCTCAGCATGCAAGACATCACGGGCCGAGGCGCAGAATCACAGGCTCTGCGCCATGACGGCAAGGCAAAGGTTGGAATGCCAGTGCGACCAGGCTGCCGATGGCAAGGTAGATGGCAATGCACGACAGAGTCAGCACGAGTGAGCCGCCAGCCACCGAGACGTGCGCTCCGTAGCGGTTGGTCACGAGACCTGCATCCTTGCGCTGTACTGTGCAAGAAGTTCGAGCTAAAGATGTGTGCATGGAGTCAACGTCCGGAGAGCACTTGCTCAGACAAGGAGCCATGCAGATGAAATTGCCGAGGTCCTCTGTCAGGCAGCTGCCACTGGAGTTTTCGAGCTTGCTTGAACTGTGAAGTTAGTGAAGTTCTCCGAAGTCCTTTGCCAGCGCCAGCGTGTCCAGCTCAGCCTGTAAGGCTCAACGGCTTCCAGAATGCAAGCCAAGGCGTGCAATATTCTTACTTAGATAGTCCTGATGACTCTTCCGGCACGGTTGCGCCACGCCTGCGAGTAATTGTAAGCCCTCTTCACCACAGGACTCCATACGCCGAAGGTGTAGGTGAGTCCGGTGAGGAAGCATGTAAAGCTCCCTGGCGGCAGGTTACACATATCCGTGAGGCGTCATTTACTGGAAGTATGCTGCGCAAGAAGCAAGAACGTCCTCATTGCGGTTTCTTCATCGCATGCACAGTTTTTTCTTGGCATCCCTTCGAAAGGCTATGGTCAACAGCTGGAGCAAACATAGCTGAAACAAGTTGAAGACCCGCAGGTCGTGACAGTGGTACAGCACGCTCAGCAGGACGCATGAGCTGCCAGTGAAGCCACTCCAACATGTTGCAGCCTGGCCTGCGCAGAAAGTCCACCAAGCACCATTACGAACTGATCGCTCGTCCACCGCAGTCATGCGTCAGTGAGATGCAACACGGCATCAGGCTCAAGCCAGGGGCTTGCGGCTTGTTCGTTGCAGAATCTGGCTTCATGCAATCAGTTGGGTAAATCTATTAGCTTCAACGATGAACCCTGCGCATCGGTCCTTGTCACTCACATGAGCTGTACTTTAGGATTTCTCTGCTGTCGGCTGCAGCAAACCATTGCTGGACTGAGAAGGTGGGTTGGCCGGCAGGGGAGCATTGAGTAGGCCGACATTAATGCGCTGATTTACCGTCAATTCGTGGCTTTGGCCCTCGTCGCACCCTTTTCGCAGAGGTCGCACAGGCGAAGGGTTGCAGCTGCTACTGGAAGTTGAACCCGCGGTGCCGTTTCTAAGCATCCAACGGGCCCTTCTTACAAATCAGACCTCGCACCCAATCAACAGTTGAAGTAGTCTTAGAAATCATCGAGAAGTCGGACACCACAAAGTCTGAAGCTTGAAACACACAGACAATTCTCAACGTCTCATCGTCTCCCGACGGTGCTTGCTGAACACCGAAGTGTCGACAGGAGAGCATTCAGTCCCAGAGATGGAAAATCTTGAATTCGAGAGTATCCACCGAAGCTTCAGTCGGCTCGGGCAGAACGAAGCGAGGGGCCGACAGTGCGAAGCGCGCGAAAATGGCCTGGAAGACAGAGATGTAGTGACGAGACGGCCGTGTTTCAGCTGCCTTCAAGAGAGACTCAGGACCTCAAAGGCTTCGGGCTGATTGTGTCCACACGGTTTGGGCCTCCTGGGCTCAAGTGAGAAGGCAACCTCCGTCTTTGGCCGTTTGCCAGGAAAGCCCTTCTGAAGAGCCTTTGACCAGACGTTCGATGAGGGCTTCCGAAGTAGAAACATGCTGCGCATCTCTGTCTAAGGCTGTCAAAGGCTCGTTGAGCGACGGTCCTTCAAACGTTAAGTGCACCCGCACAGCTCAAGGGCAGAAAGAATCGAGCATTCAAGCCAGGGATTGAGAGGACAGCCAACGTGGCCGATCTCCTGACAGCATTAAAGGCGCGGAACGTCGCAAGGCATTGCCTTGTGTTGGAAAACGGATTGCGTCCTGAAAGGCCAAAAAGTTGGTGTTGCTCGGATCGAGGTGTGCAAACTCTGTGCGTATGCGTGCATGTATGCATGCATGCATGCATGCATGCATGCATGCATGCATGCATGCGTGTACGTAAACATGAACATAAACACAAGGAAAATACGTATCAACGTATACATACATACATACATACATACATACATCCATACATGCATGCATGCATGCATACATACATACATACATATCTCCAGACATCAATACATCCATACATCCATACATGCATACATGCATACATGCATATATCCATCCATGCATGCGTACGTACATACATACATACATACATACATACATACATACACACAAGTACACGTACACGTACACATGTATGTATGCATGTATGTATGTATATGTATGTTTGTTTGAACAAAAGTTAAACCTATAAATGCAAATACGAATTACATATACATTTACATATATATATATGTGTGTGTGTACGTATGTGCATAAGCATATGTATCTGCATCTGTATATGCATCGGAAAATGTATACAATGTATATGTATATGTGTGCCTGTGTATGTAAACGTATTTATGGTAGTGGAAAGAATATCCATACAAAGACATAAATGAATGACAGCAACAGGTAGAATATATAAAGATGTGAATATAAGTGTGAACATGAGCACAAACGTATATCTATATATATATGCACACAGCAATGCAAACATATATACACATATATTTGTGTGTGTGTTATGCGTACGCATGCATGCATGTGCTATAGATATCAGACAGATAGATATACAGATTTCCAGGTATTTAGTAGATACAGCATAGATATGTCTAGATACAGAGGCACAGGGATACAAAAAGAAATAGGCAACGACATAGATACAGATATAGATAGGGATACAAACACCGGGAACATATAGGTTTAGATTTAGATATAGACACAGATATAGACATGGAAGTAGAGATAGCTTTGGATACAGATGCAGATATGATACAGATATAGACACACTGAGATAGATTCAGATATAGATGTAGACTGAGATGTAGATATGGCTAGGGAAGTAGATACACTGTGTACTCACATGTAGATAATGCTGTTTCCTGCTCGTTCCACAACATGTGGTAGTCAACATCAGCTGACATGCGCCGGTTCCATGTACTGCTCTCCACTACCTGATTCGGGCGTTGGGTAGACATTGCACATGTCACGATGGCATTGGCACTGCTTACTGCCACAACACCAGTTTTAGAGCATTGCCATCATTTTTGAAAAATTCAAGAATGCTTTCTGCGGTCTAGCATGGGGGGAGAAGGGGGGGCTGGGCAAACACAGCACCATGCATGCATGCATGCATGCATGTATGCATACGTTCTTGTGTCAGGACTGTATATGTTTATGTGTGTATGTGCGTACACACATTATATGTATATGTGTACATAAATACATACGCACAGATATATTTATATATACATACACATATACATATA